ATTTAGAATTTGTTGTTTTTTTAGATACATGAATAAACGAAATAAATAAATAAAAACTGATGACAAAGAACACAACAAACAACTTGTCCACAAATTATTAACGAGACAGAAAAGGTGAAAATGAAAAACTTGTAAAGACAGATTTCTCAAGCTGCACACACTGAGCTTGATTTTTTTCTGACTGCAGCTTTCATGAGGTGTTAAATTCGATATTTTTAATCTGCAGCTCCGTGTGCTGTCATCACAGAAACAGCATTCCTGGAAACGGTGAATGATTTGTGAGGGAGGCTGAGTAAGAGTCAGAACACGGTGGAGRTTCAGGTCTTATTCTGTCCTGCTTTAAAAACTCTGTTAGTTAAAGTACCTGTGACATAAAATTATTGAAATCAACATGAAGGTGTTTATAACAAGAGAACACGGATTACATATTGCTGGAAAAGTTTCACTCTGCTGAGATGAACAGTTGTTGAGATATTCTCATGTTCAGTAACAGGAAGTGATGTCATGAGGGGAATGTCTGCATGTAAACAGAGCGTTGCTACAATAACTAAAAACAGACTGTAGAGAAGAATCTGATGTTTCTTTAGATTATTTATCAGAGAGACAAAGAGTCAGAGCTCAAATAATGTTGTTTTTATAAACACAGACCAGAGAGTTCCCCTTTGATGTCACTTCCTGTTTCACAGGCTGAGCCAGGTTCTGAAGAAAATATGCAGGTATGTGACAAAACATGTAAAATCGTGTTTTATGTCAAGTTTCTTAAATATAAAGATCTGAGATGTTCGTTTAAGCTCATATTTTTTCTTTGTATTTTAAAACACAAATCAAACACCTTGTTTTGTTTTTCAGCACTAATTCTTAATTAAAACATTAAATTATAAAAGCATGCACAGACCTAATAATTAAGACGTTTGTAATAATCYGTGGTGGTGGGCACCAGTCCCATAAAGCACAAGTCCGCTAATTGCGGACCTAATTTTCTCTTTTGCACTTCAGGGGTTTTACTAATTTCTTCAAAAGATGTACGGACTTTCACTTTCAAAATTTAGAATTGAGCAGCACTGATCGCAAATAATGTTAAAAGTTTGATAATCAATATTGTCTGAAGAAAAAGGAGAGAGCCGTATAAGCCCACTACGTTCTTTAGCAATATAT